TATGATAAAACACTGACCAAAAACTAACTTGGGGAGAAAATGATTTAATTTATGTTACAAGTAACAGTCTATCATCTAGGGAGAAAGGGAAATGAAGGCAAGGACACAAGGAAGGACCCTGAAGTCAGGAACTGAAGCAGAGAGCAAGGGGGAGCGCTGCTTACTGGTTTGCTTTCCCACCTTCTCAGGGATGGTGCCATGTCCAGTGGTCTGCACCCTACTATATCAATTGGAAATCAGAAAATGCTCCAAACATACCCATAAGCTTGTCCACTAGGGGCAATTACTAACTGAGGTTCCCTCTTCCTTTGTATGTTAAGCTGACAAATGAAGCTAACTGTGACTTCCACACCTCATCAACTTTAATAGACAAACACATTACATTAAACCAGAACTTTTTTCTTGTCTGTCTCCAAGTTCTCATGTTAGTATCACAATATAAAACACAGTCCGACTTACAGAAGTCCTACAGTGTTTAAATTTTTAACACTTTTAAAGTCCAAGATTTTTTAAATTAAGGATCTTTTATCTGTAGGTTTTTCTAAAATACAAAGCAATTTCTTATTCTAAAGGGGAGAACTAGAGCACAGTTACAATTAGATCAAAGCAAAATCCAAGTGTAAAAAGCTCAGCATCTGACCTCTGGGACTCATTCATGATTTACTGAATTCCAAAGGGTTTGGTCAGTCCCACTTTTATTGCTTTGCCGTCTATTGGCTTACAGGCTTGGGCTGTCTCCATCCCAAACTACCACTTTGTGGTCTTCCTACAGTCCTGGAATCTCCACTATGCTGGGCTATGTGCTGTAATTGTGCCTGCTCCTTCACCAATGACTTCTCTTGGCCTCTTCAGGAACTTTATGCCACATGTTGACAAGCCTCAACTTCTCGCTTCAATCCTAGAATTTCCACTGCAACTGACACTTCACCTTCACTAATGGCCACTCAGGATGTCTCTGTAGGGACTCCAGCACTGCCACAAGGTGTGGCAATTCAGCTAGTCTCTGTGTTTCGTCCATGTCTTCAAAAACTAGCACCATGTGGGAGAGTCTTACATGTTATTTAGCATGTTCTTCTGCCTACTTGAGGTGCAGTCTTGGCCCTGCTTGTACCAAACATTTATGTGGTAACCCTGAGTAAACACTTCACAGAAGGTTGCACCTCAATAATGCCTATCTCTTATTAATCACAGCTGATTTTTCATTGCTAGCTAATCAGTGTCCATTGTCCCATTAAAACAAAGACTTTACTTCCACATATGCCGAACTCACATATATCCCACAAATGAGAGAGCATGATAAGAGTCTTTATGGAATTCTCAGTCTTCTCTCTGAAATCTCACAAAGCCAGGCCTTTATTATCTACATTTCTCTCAGCATTATCTTCCAAGCTCTCACAGAACAGCCCGTTAAGTTCTTAGCATGCAGTGTTTTTTTTTTCAAGCCTAAAGTTCTAAATACTCTGTCTTTCACCTACAAAACCTCACACTGCTAGATTAAGAGACAAGATAATTTTCCTAAGAAACTCCCATAACTTTCCTTGAGTTCATCATGGTGCTACCAATAGTAGACTTCCCATCATTGTGACAAAATACCTGAAGGAAACAATTTAAAGAGAGGAAAGGTATATTTTGGATCATGGTTTCAGAGCTTTCAGCCAAAGATCAGCTGATTACCTTAGAGGCATAGCACAATGGTGCTGGGAGTTTGTTGCAGAGGAAGCTGCTGACCTCATACCATGGAAGCAGAAAAAGGAGAACACAAGAATATGAACAAGGAGGCTGAAACAGAGGACAAGATAGAGTCATCAATGTCACACCCTTAAGGACTACTCCCTTTAGCTAGGTCCCATCTCTTGTTTCCAGCACTCCCAATAGTTGATCAATTGATTAGCCCATTGATGAAATCAGCACTTTTGTGATCTAATCACTTCCCCAAAGCTTCACCTCTGAGCACTGCTACATTGGGATTGATTCTTTTTTTGTTGCTTTGGTTTTGGTTTTGGTTTATCAAGTTAGGGTTTCTCTATCAAACAGTCCTGGCTGTCCTGGCACTCACTCTGCAGACCAGGCTGGCCTCGAACTCTCAGAGATCCACCTGCCTCTGCCTCCAAAATGCTGGGATTAAAAGTGTGTGCCACCACTGCCTGCCATGTCTGATTCTTTAGGAACATGTGAATCTTTGGTAAGCCATTTATGATTCAACCAAATGGATATTGCAGTACTTCTTTTTTATAATTATCAATTTATTTGGGGCAAAATGCTACTAAAGATGTGCAAAAGTGTGAAATTGTTGAATTCACTCAATGATTTGGGAATATTTTTGGTGCTATTTAAATATCATAGTTTTCTTAATTTTACTCATAGATTATTCAGTATTACTGCCTAGAAACATTTTATTTTTAAAATATTTATCTTATGTCCTACAAATATTGCTGAGATTTATTAGAGCACCTTTTTGGGTGGATTCTGTAGAATTTCCTATGTATAAGATTGCATGATTTATGACTAGAGTGAGTTTTATATCTTCTATTAACTTTGAATTCCTTTTATTTATTTTTCCTGTTCAGTTACTCTTGCTAGAGTCTCAGTACAATATTGGATGGGAGTGATAAGAGCAGATATCCTTGATTTCTTAAGTGTACGAGCTTTTCATAAATAGCCATTATCATTTAGAGGAAGCTATTTTTAGTTTGTTAAATATTTTTTAATCATGAAGGAGTGTTCTGATTGAGATAAACATGTGAGATTTTATAACATTTATTATTTTGTTTTCATTGCTTTTCTTATGTTAAACAAATCTTGTATTCTAGAAATCAATTCCATTTGATAAGGAAGATTTTTTAAAATTTTACTAACATTTTGTTGAAGTGTCTGCATTTTTATGTTTTGAGGATTTTTGCCAGAGATGAATGATAATTTTCTAAGTATTTGAAATCAAATATTTAAACCACCAGACCTTATCCTCTGGTTCCATGTGAATAGTTTCTGATTACTCAGTCTCATACTTCTTATTGCCCGACTTACATTACTATTTGTTCTTGAGTCTGTTCTAGTTTATGTATTTCCAAGAATCTATCAATTTCATCATTTTAACTGATTTTTACTGTACAGTTGTTCATAGTATTGCCTTTCAATGATTTTTCTGTAAGCCTGGTACTTCCATTCTTGTCATTGTTTCTACTAATCAGGGTCTTTCTCTTAAGGTTTCTGTTGCTGTGAAGAGACACCATGATCATAGCAACTCTTATAAAGTAAAACATTTAATTGGGGCTAGCTTACAGTTTGGAATTTTAGTTTATTATCATCATGATGGGAAGCATGGAAGCATGCCGGCAGGCGTGATGCTGGAGAAGTAGCTGAGAGTTCTATATCTGAATCCACAGGCATCAGAAAGAATGACACTGGGCCTAACTTGAGCTTCTGAAACTTCTAAGGCTGCTCCCAATAATGCACTTCCTCCAGCAAGGCTACACCTACTCCAACAAGGCCACACCTCTTAATATTGCCACTCCCTCTGGGCCTATTGGGGGCCATTTTCATTCAAACCACCACAGTCTTCCTTGATTCCTATTTTAACTTTTTATGAAGCATATATGTCCTCTTAGTTGACTTTGAATTTTTTAAATGTTAGTGTACAAAAAAAAACAATAGCTGCTGAGAGACATTGGATTGTGGAAACTGCTAAATTAAAACAACCTATATATTTAAAAAATTGAATAATTTTAAAACATTAGAAAACACAGATACTTAGGCATATCAAAGATGTTTTCCCTGGCAGTATCTATGGAGATCAGTTTCTTTACCAGAAAGTTGAGCACTAGAGTCATTATTGTTTAAGTTTTTAAAAGTCTTTGGATGGTAATCTGTGTGCCAAAAAAAAAAAAATCCAAAAAAGCCTTTTATTTCTGAAGGAAATAGTAGGAGATAAGAGTGGAAATACAGTTGGAATCGTATTATGATATTTTGAATATTACCATGAAGTATTTGGACAAAGTAATCAGTGTGAGGCTTTTGGGTTTGAGGCTACCCAATCAAAGTGGTTGTCAAGGAAACTGGTTTGGTAGTAGCATGTAGGACAGATTGGAATTAGGTGTTTATTCAGGACTTTGTCCTATTATGAAGAGATGAAGGCAATAACAGAGGGAATAGAAAATGAAGACAAGAACTAGATATTGTCTCTGATTTTGAAAGACTTCATTAGCTCTAAATGAAGGAAGTCAATCTTCTTCAATGCTTCTTTTATGTATGATGAAGATAACTGCTAAATTTAATTTCACTAACCCTGATTTATTTCCATTCATTGATGGTTGAGGAAATCATCCATTAGGTACTTTGAGAGGTCCTCTAGAAATGTGACAGATTTTAGATATTTTTATATCTTTACTTGTCACCCAGGAGTCTATGTGCGCTAGCTGAAGTATCTGTGAACAACATTTGTGAAAAGGTATGCATTAGCCTACCCATATTCTTGACAAGACTGATACAGCATTCTGAGATGAAATGCCACCCAGTGAAAATATCTCATATGTTGACCTAGGCTGGAATGGGAGAAGGTAGCAGATATTAGGGAATAATTTTCATTAGTATAAATACAACTAAGTATATGCACCATTTTCCTGTGTCTTGTAATCACTTTTTAAAACCATGTACATTCCTTTTAATTTTTATCTATGATAGAAATTCTTATTTGTGTTAAATGGAGGTATTAAGGGATCAATTACACACATTTTTTAAAGAGCAAGAGGAAAGAGCCAGTCAGAGTGTGCATACCTTCAATCTCCGGAACTCAGGAGGCAGAGGTAGGTAGATCTGTTTGAATTTGAAGCCAGACTTAGGGCCAGCAAGACATCCTAGAGTCAGCATTCACTCTGTTTTCTAAAGCTTCTGACTGAAGGCTTTGTAAATACTTAAAGTTACTCATTTATCCTTTTTCTAGTTAACTGGAAATTTCTCAAAGGAGGTTAACCCATTATTACTTTTTTCTTTGCCTACTTCCACAGCTCTGGGTGAACCAGGAGGATGGGGTGGAGGAAGGGCCCAGTGATGTGCAGAATGGGCACCTGGACCCCAACTCAGACTGCCTTTGTCTGGGCCGGCCACTACAGAACCGGGACCAGATGCGGGCCAATGTCATCAATGAGATCATGAGCACCGAGCGTCATTACATCAAGCATCTCAAGGACATTTGTGAGGTAGCCATGGTGGTGCATGTGGGGGCATGTGTGGTGGGACACAGGGCACATCTAGGAAGACCTGACAGTCTGCATGGACCTAGCTGTGGTAGTCCCAAAATATTGGAAAAGGCAGCAGCACTGACATCCCGAATAGTTTTCAATTCGATGAAATCACATCCTTTGTTTTTTTTTCTCCTCTGTCTTTGTCGTTGATGTGTACTTTATGTCCTGCTACCTTCTACCTCCATGTCTGTCTCTTCTTTGTCTCTGTCCTTTCCTAAATCTATACTCTTAACCTCTTGGTTTCTGATCCTCATTCATTAAAGCAAATTTAAGCAAGAGATTAAGAAATTTGAATGTATAGAAGAGTTCCTAGGATTAGTTTATTATGGATGCAAACGTAAGGTCTTTGCTCCTGCTACCCTAAGTTGCGAATTATCCAGACCTATGGTAAGGCATGAGTATATTTAAGTTTCAAGAGCATGGCTGATGATCCTGATGTGCTGGTACTTTTCCCCACATGGAGAACATTGTGGCTTATTTGAACAAATAGGTACTTGTAAAAGAAATCCACAGGAGCCTCATTAACAAGCATCAACTCCTTTATTTTGTGTTGCTACATTCCCTACTCCTTGCTTTCTAGCTCTCTAGACTACAGGAGTCTTCCTATTCCCCCACATACTCTCTTTAGCTTAATGGAGGCCAGTGAACATTTCCAAGGGGTTTATTACTAAGCAGTAAGAGAAAATCAATAGAATAGAAAGTAGAGAAAAGAATTTTTTTCAAAACTTATTTTAAAGTTATTTTTTATGTGTATGGATGGATGCTTTGCCTGCATGTATGTCTGTGTATCACATGTGTGCTTGGTACGTAAGGAGACATTGGATCCCTGGAACTGGAATAATAGATGATTGTGATCTACTATGTGGAAGCTAGCAATCAAACACACACACACACACACACACACACACACACACACACACACACACACACACCAAAAGAAATACCTCGCTTTTTTTTGCCTTCAGAAAACTCCTCTTTGACTCATCTTATTTCCTTCCCTCTTAGGAGTATTCAGAGCCTATTTTCTTCTCTTAACCTGGGGCCTACTTTCTGGTCAAGAGTATAGTTGTAACATTTTCAAAGTCCTTGCTTCCCTAGAGTAGACCTATCTAACAGAATGTTCTGCAGTGATGAAAATATTTTATCTCCTGTCTCCAGTACACATCTGCTAGCCAGCCAAGCTTTTGAAAAATGGCTGGTGGTAATGAGAAGGAAAACTTAATTTTTAAAAAAATAGAATTAATTTAAATTTAAATAATAGCAATTTTAAATCACATTGGACAGTACAATTACAGAAAGATGATTGTGGGTATTACATTTCGCCTCAGCTCATTTTCGTTTCTCAGTTAAGCAGATTAAAAATTATCTCCTTCATGTCTTAAAGCAATAAGATAGGATAGAAAGAACAAGGGTTCTAGAAACATTGTTTTGGTTGTTACATCCCAACTTAGTCACAAATTAACCTGCTAGCCTTAAAGGTTAAACACGTCAAACAAATACATACCCGAGCTCAATTTTCTCATTTGTCTTTTGGGTTTCATTATATAGCTACTTCTTAAAGTTGTTGAGGGAATTACGTAAATGCACTGTTGTTGTTTACATGTAAGTTGTACTGGGGTTTAAACTTGGGCCCTTGTACATGTTAGGCAAGTGCGTGACCACTGAGCTATATCCCTAGATCCCTAAAATAATGCTATAATTAAATATGCTCCAGATATTTTAGAAAGTATAGTTTTATCTCTTCCTTGAAAATTCTTTTTTTTCTGTTCACTCATCCATCCAGAACTCTCATTTTCTTCTCAAAGATTTGTACTGTAGCCAGCAACATCTGTGTCATCCAAGACCTTGTTAGACATTCGAAAGCCTTGGCCCTGTCTCAGCCTTACTGAAAAAGATTGTGTACTTTAGTAATTCTCCTACTTGATTTGCAATACATTTAAAAGTTTGAGAAGTGGTACTTCAAAATGATAGCTATATTATATGTGATGATATCTGCAATAAACTAAGTAGAATCTGTTCATCACTTGATAACTAGGGCAGGCTATCCTGACCTAAGGTTTTATTTTCTTCCTTTGCTCAAAACTTTCCAATGGCTCATAATTTCTCTTCAAGTAAAGACTGAAACTGTTATTACTTACAAGGTCATGTAGGGTCAATCCTCTCACTATTTTGATTTCATCTCTTGCTTCTTTTCCTATGTTCTTAATAACCCAACCCCTACTGGCTTCTTAGAATTCACCTAATGTCGCAGGCATGCTCCCAAACAGAGACTGTTAACTATTTTTCCCCCTGCCTAGAGAAATCTCCAATTAGGTACTTCAAGTTTTTATATAAATATTCTATTTAAAAATTTAAGCTTCTATTTCTTCTTCCTTTTCCTGTTCTACTTTTCTCCATAATACATTTGGCTATTGGATAAATTGCGCATTTCTGCATTCATTTACTTATAGTTAGTCTATCTTAATAAAATGTAAATTCCATACACAAAAGGAGATCTCATTTGTTGATTATGAATTTCAAATCAATGACCCAGTGCCTGACACATAGTTGATTCTCAAAATGTATTGCTAAATAAAAAATAAGTATAGTTGTTCACATGTGCATACTAGTTTGATAATCAATTATTTGATCTTCAAAGAGGACAAATATTATTGTTCTTGTCTGTATCAACAGATCATTCCTAGTTAGACAATATTTTTCAGTGTTTCTAGTCTCAAACCCCATTGAAATCCTATAGTCTTAGAAGTATGCCCTATTTTCTCCAGCTCTCAAACATCTTGTCCTCAAAACACAAGACACAACAATAGATATATTTAATCTCTACAGAAGGCGGAGCGCTATGATTCTACTTTGAGGAATTGTCCAGTGCAGCCAACCTAGTTACAGCTGTTGTTGAAGACATTGGAAACTAACTCATTGCTCCAATCCTTAACAATAGACACCAAAGAGAATTTGAGAAATCTGTATTTATAACTGGACCATGGAGAGTATTCTAGATGTAGATTGTGTTACCTATAAACCAAAGCCCATAAGTTCCAAAATATTTTCAGAAAGAATACCAGAGTTAGAATTGAGAGTTCAAGGCTCAAGTCATATTTTAGTCACTTATTGTCTATGACACCTCAGCAAAGTCTTTTCCACCTTAACCTTCTTCCCTGCTTCTAAAACAAGTTGTTTGGGGAGCTTTATGTAATATGTAGCTTCTCATCTCTCTGGTTTTGTACTATGTAGATATATTTTCACTGAAGAAATCTATGGATGTGAGACAGTCCTCTTCTGCATTTTCTGCCTCTTGTTTCTTAGTACTCAAGGAAGCACATCTTATTCAAGTGTGAATGTGTTAATATGACAATTTACCACACTCCACATATTTCTAAATCTAGCCAGGGGAATCAAAACTCAGAGTTCAGCTCAAGATCATTATGACTAATCATCTGTGACATTGCCATTTGTAACCATGGAACTAATTTTACAATAGAAGAAACAAAGTACTAAACAAATAGGGCTAAAGATGCTTTAAAATGTTGTCTTTCCTGTCCCTGGGGGAAAATTAGCCCAGGCATAATAGAAATGTGAAATCAGTTCTATTCTCAGATGACTTCAGGAAACCTTGCCTATCTTGGTCATTTGGATTAGTCTCAGATGTTTCGCTATAGTCTAATAAGGTTTATCTTGCTATAGTTTCATGTCATTTCTCTTTTATGTTTAACCCTGGATTTTAAGCTGCACATGATGCACACATCTGTAATCCTATCATTCAGGAAGTTGAACTTTCAGGGTTATTAATTTGAGTCCTTTCTGGGCCATATAGTGAGACATAAATTAAAATAAAAAACAAGCAGCATCAGCATCAAAACTCTTAGAGATTTCAAACGTTTTTAAATTTTTTAGGGAAAAATCTTAAAAATATAGATTTTCTTCTTTTTCATTACCATTTCTGCCCAGGTACTCACTGTAGACAGAGTTTCTGTTCTGCCTGGTCCCGCGGATGTTAGTCCCAAATAAACATACTGAGGCTTATATTAATTATAAACTGTTTGGCCGATAGCTCAGTCTCCTTACTGGCTAGCTCTCTCTTAATTATTAACCCATTTCTACTGATATATGCATCTCCATGTGGTCTTGGCTTACCAGAGAATTCCCAGCACCCTATCTTCCCGTTAGCTACATGGTATCTCACCCTGAGACCGCTCCTCCTCCATGTTTCCACTTCCCAGAATTCCCCTGGTCTGGTAGCCCCACCTATACTTTCTGCCTGGCTACTGGCCAATCAGCATTTGTTCATCAGCCAATAAGAGAAACATGTATTCACAGCACACAGAAGGACATCCAAAGGTCATTACATCTTGGCACATTTTGATAACAATAACATGTTGTATATCATGATAATGCAATTTGTATAGTATATTAGTATATTAGAATGGGTGAAACAGCTAATTAAAATAATCAGCATAGGATCTTTTTGCCTGCTCTAATCCCTACCCCACCCAGACACCTTACATAATCAACTGGGGTCTCATCCCTAGGAAAGACTGATTTTTTTTCAGCATTTATTAATTGGTCTTTAGCTGTGGGTGGGATCCTATGAGATTTCCCCCAGCCATGTTAGTATGACAACTGGTATTCATTGTTCAGGTCTTGTTTAGATTACTATACTGTTAAGATTTCATATGTGCAGTTTCCCTGTGTTATACAGAAAATATAATCTCACAGCTGACTTTCTGGTTCTCTGGCTCTTACAATCTTTCTACCCCCATTTTGTGATGTTCCCTGAGCCTTATGTGTTTTGTCACAATTATATCAAGTGGAGCTGGGAATCTTGCTATTATTCTCTGCATTTTAACCAGTTGTGACTTTCTGTATTGGTCTCCTTCTGCTGCAAAAAGAAGTTACTTTGATAAGGAATGAGAGCTATACATCTCTTTAGGTATAAGGATAAGTATTAAGAATACAAT